ACAAATGGCATTATCCTATTCACCGTTTCACACCTACTACTTTTCACTTAATTTCTCAGAAATTGCTCCCAATCAGCATACAGAGAACACCCTTGGTCTTTTAAAGGATTTCATAGTACTGAATTGTGAGGATGTAATTTAGTTTATTCAACTAGTTTCCTACTAGTGGAATTACGTGGTTTCCAGTTTTTCTTGCATTTACAGAGCTCCAGTGTACAAGATATTTACATGTCTTTATGCCAACTTAAAGGTGTATCTGGAGAATAATTTCCTAGACGAGGAACCGTGCATTTTTAACACACTGCCAAACTGCATCCCTAGAGGTTATGCCAACTCACACTCTTCCATACAAAGCATGAGAGTGCCTGCTTAGTGACCCTCTGCCAACACTGAGACAAGCACTAGTTTAAAAGATTATATGATATCCTACCATTATGGACACATCATAACTGATTTTCCCTTGATTTCCTTTTTTTTTTTTTTTGCTGTTTCTGAAATGTTATAACAAATGTCTTTGTACAGAAATTTTTGTTATCTATGAGGATTTCCTCAAAGGCATGTAACAACATTAGGATTTCCTTAGGCCATCATTCTAGAAGGTGAATTAAAGGGTGTGCATGTTTAAACACCTTGATCTCTCCTTTGTTTTGACTATGGAATATTGAGGAAAACATTTCTCCCTTTAGTAGCCTCTGTCTAGGGGGTGGGAAGATCACCAAGGTTTAGAGATAACCGGCTTTTTCATTATAGAGGAAACTTCTTTACTGAGGTCCCCGGGACCCTCACATGGTGGCTCTGTGGGTGGCTGGTGGGGGAGTAACCCAGATGAAGGTATGCAGCCTCATCGCAGCCAAACCTCAGCATCGCCTGTGTCACTACAGGCCACTGGCTCATGGGAAGGACTCTTGAACTGCCAACCTACCCCAGTGAAAGGGCTCCGCACTTCTGGAATAGTCATGGTGGTAATGGCCGGTTGAACTTTTACGTGTTCTCTTTCGTAGTCCGCCTCACCTCCATCCTCTATGACAGTCCTGGGAGTGTAACAAAAGGCAGAGAATCACTCAATTACCAGCCACCACAACAGTCTTGAGTCTTCCCTCGCCACTTCACCCCTCCTCAAGGAGTAAGTGCAAGTTCTCATTCAAGGGATGCCTTTCTCCAAAGGTCAGCTGGCCAGTGCTCCGTTACTCCTTGCCTGCCCCCTACATGCGGTCAGAAACTTCCAGGTCACTGAGTTGGGCAGTGCTCCCCAGGGTCCAGCTCTTCCTCCCTGTCCTGTCGAGCCCATGTTTGACTTACAGAAAGCCCTAGGAAGCGCCACCAATTCTCCAGATAATGTTGATGCGTCCTAAGAGCTCAATATTAAGTTTCATCACCTACTTGAGCATTTTATCAAGAGGCTATAATGTCTGTCTCATCCTTTTCTGCTTGCTATTGGCCTGATCCTGGATCCAGAGCTTGGGCAGATGGAGCCAGCAACACGAGAGGAAGGGCTCAGGCCCCCAGGACTCAGGGGACTCTGACCTGGGTATCCCAGATGCCCAGCCCAGGGTCTAAGACATAGAAGCCACTAATGACCAGTGAATGGCTGGATGAACCAATGAAGGATGTATTCTGAGAATGTAAGTCAGTGTAGAGAAAAGCTAGTAAAACAAAACGTGAAAAACTCATACTGGCTTTGCATCTGTGCTTACTTATTAACAAAATCACTTAAATCCATCTCGAAGGAATCCAGTGCAGCTGGGACTGCTGGCGAGCTCACAGATGCCGAGCTTGCGGGGACGGAGTCCACCTGGGACAGGGGGGCACTGTAAAGTTTCCTTGGCCATGTTGCAAACCTACAAAGGACATGGGACACAAGCACACATCAGCTTTTGCCAATCAGCGGCTGGCTGGGTTCTCAGTTTCTAAGGCCAGGCTCCAAAGCCCAGACAAGGCAGGTCTACAAAGTACCACCCTACATCCTCCCTTCCACTAGCTTTCCTCTCCCCATTCTTCAAATATTAGCTGAGGTTTCACTTTCTCCTCAAAAGCTTCCTGACCACCCTCTCTCCTAGTCTGGGTCCAGTGTCTTTCCTCTGAGTACCCCATAGTCCCCGAGGAGTCCCCTCTCAGGTTTATTTGTCTCATGTCTGCTAGACTGAGTCTCTGAGGACCAGTATCATGGCATGGGGTAAGCATTCACACAATACTCGTGAATGATTGAGTTAGCAAGGCTCCTGCTCCCAGATAAGCAGTGGGAAAAAGCAAAGTGCACATGGGGCTAGAATGAACACAGCAGTCCCTGGTTACAAACCCCACACTCTCTCACAGGCTCAGCATAAGTGCCATCTCTTATATTAAGTGTCCAGGTTGGTGGTTCAAACCCACTAGCCACTCTGCAGAAGGAAGATGGGGCAATCTACTTCCATAAAGATTTACCACCTCGGAAACCCAGTGGGGGTAGCAATGAATCAGAATCAACTCGATGGCAGTGAGTTTGGTTTTTTGGTTTATATGAGATTTCCATCACTGTCCCATCCCCCCAACCTCTGAAGTTCTATGACATTTTATCTGTATTTCTTTCAGGATCCTGTTCATTCTCTACCATGGGCTGGAGGACCATTCTACTACCACCTTCATGATTCTTACCATATTAAGTATCACCAAACAAATTTATTTTTTTTGAGGAATAACTGACATACAAAATGCATTCAATTTTAAGTATACAGTTTGATGACTTTTGAAAAATGTACACACACACACACACACACACACACTCCCCTGTGCAAGCGCCACTAGAATTAAGATACAAAACATTTCCATCATCCTAAATAGTTCCCCTGGGCCCTTTCCTAGTCAATTCTCCCACTCTGGTTCCAGGCAAAATGCTCATCTGCTTTGTCTCACCATAGATTAGATTTGCCTGCAGTTCCATATAAATGAATCCTAAGTATGTTCTCTTTTGTGTCTGACTTCTTTTGCTCAGCATAACGTTTTGAGATTCAGCCATGACGGTGATGTAGCTGCAGTGTGTTCTTTCTTTTAACATTGAGCAACATCAGATAGTATGGAATACCACGGTGTGTTTACCCATCCTCCTGGAAATGCCACCTGAGCTGTTTCCAGCTTCTGGGTATTATGGATAAAACTGCTAGGAACATTGTGTACAAGCCTTGTGTGGACATAAGTTTGCATTTCTCTTGGGTAAATTCCTAGAAGCAGAATTTCTGGGTTACTTGGTGTGTTTAACATTATAGGGAACTGACAACAGTTTTCCAAAGTGGTTGTACCATCTTACACTCCCACCCACAGTGCATGTGGGTTTGGTCGGCCCACATCTTCACCCATACTTGGTATTCAGCTTAATTTTAGCCATTTGAGTGAGTGAACTCCATGGTGTTCATTAACAGGCTAATTTTTAAGGAAAGCTCTACATCATCACTATAAATGAAAAACCGTTATTATCTACTAAATTTAGGGGAAAAAAATCAATAGAATGGAAAAAAAATCACTTCTTCTTTTCTCACTAGGAGAAGGTTCTGAGTTGAGCACTGCCTGTTCTATTTAAGAAGATAAATCAGTTCACTTTCCCTTGGACAAACACCAGGCTACAGCCATCCAAGTCATTACCAGGCTTATTACCCTACAGGACTGTGGGTTCTTGGAGGGCAGGGTCTGGAGTGTTTCCTCTCTGTAGCCCCCACAGCCCAGGGACTTATACACAGGACGTAAGCTCAATGTATGCTTGAAGGAGTGGGTGGCTGGGGGTTGGCTGGTTGAATTGAGCAGGTGGAGCAGCATGCAGGGCAACGTGGCTGTTGTGCATCCCACCTCCAGCCTCATCCCAACGTGGGACGTTCTCAGAGAAAAGGGGAAAAGCTCTCGTCATCTTCTCCCACAAGCTTCTGTATGTTTTGCTCCAGATCAGATGTCTCTAGCTGACTTTACCTTAGGCTAGACCCACACCATTGTAGGCAGTGGATCCATGTTGGGCTGGGTGCTGGAGAATCTTCTAGAAAGTGTGTTAAAATACAGATTCCCAACCTTGGTCCTTGGGGAGACTCTGACTCAGGAGGTCTTGTACAGGGCCCAGGAATTTGATTTTTAATAGTTTTCCCTGGTGATTCTGATATATAGCAAGATTTAAGGCCCACTGTGGGAAAGTATAAGGAGCTCTGGGGCATAATGGATAAGGCATTTGGCTGCTAGCCAGAAAGCCAGTGGGTCAAACCCACTAGTCCCTCCGCAGAAGGAAGATGGGCCAATCTGCTTCCATAGAGATTTACAGCCTCAGAAACCCAATAGGGGTCACCTGGAGTCAAAATCGACTTGATGGCAGTGAGTTTGGTTTCTTCATGGGTAGCTATGGAGCCCTAGTGGCACAGTGGTTAAAGTGCTTGGCTGCTAACTGAAAGGCCTGTAGTTCGAAACCACCTGTGGCTCTGCGGCAGTCGACTTCCATGAAGATTTACAGCCTTGGAAACCCCAAGGGGGCAGTTCTACTCTGCCCTATAGGGTCGCTATGAGTTGGAATCACCTCAATGGCAGTGGGTTTGGGTTTGGGTTTGGTTTTGGTTTGTGTGGGTAAGAATGGCAATAGCTTGGCTTTGGACTGGAGCTGCAGATTATTATGGGGTTACTGCCACAGTCTCACCAGCTAAGGGCAGTGAAAATCAGCAGAGAAATAATTCTGAGCACTTATTAAATCACCCCAGGCCAGCAAAGATGCCTGGCGAGACTGTCACATCGCTGCTCCACATAACTGCACTCGCTCATACAACATTTGCACATCCAGGATGTTGTGCCGGACGAAATGAAAAAAAAAAAAAAAAAAAAAAGCATATGGGAAATCTGTGAAGGAAAAATACAAAGCTGTGGACAGCCTGCCTACCTGTGGAAAAACAACACCTTAGCTAACAACGAAACCGAACAACTGGGAAGCGAGAGGTCTCTGGGGACAGAGGAGGGGTGAAGCGCCCGGCTGCTCACAGGCTGAGCTACAGGAGACAGGGAAAGCGTGAACACAATGACGGCTTTAAATTATCATTAAAATGGAAAACCTGCTCACAAACAGTGAAACAGAATGTGGGTGGAGTGTTTTGGGATCAGATTTCACTGAACTCCCAGTTTCACTGATCACTTTCCTGTTAGGCTGCCCCAAGAGGAATAGATGCAGTTATTTTTAAAGGAGAGCGTGTCACAAACACGGAGAATCAATATTGGTCCAATCCCAGCATGACACATGTCAGAATCACTGGAGGAGCCAGGAAAGAGTGACCCCCACCAGCGGTGACAGTCACGTGAGCGTCAGACACACGGTTCGGTTCGTCAGCATCACTGGGTGAGGCAGGCAGTTACCCTCTTCATATTTTATTTTCCAGTCTTGGGTAAGTCACGATCAATACAATGTTTTCTGGTGCAAATAATAATAATAATAATAAAACCCACCACTTTCATTTCCAGCTCTCCCTTCACTGAAAGTCACTATGGTGCCAAAATTAGACCCCAAAGAACATGTCTGAATTGCAGTTAATATTTTGTGACGTAGGTCAGATGATATTTGGAGAAGGAAGGCCGTATGGTGGACATCACTGAAGTCTGTGCAGCCTGCAGTAGACATCATGTCTTATTTGTTGATTCATTACACCAGGATCTGGGGAGCATCTGCTACAGAGGCTGAGGACGGTCACTGGCAGGGGGAAAAGGCTCTGCAGATGTGTTTTGTTGGCTCTCGTGCTGTTTGATATGTTTTAAAGTTAACGACAATAGCAGACAATGGTGGTCACTGTCCGGGTCCCTTTACCAGGAGAATACCCCTGTCCCACTGGTGCTGTGGGTGTTGGCAGAGGGCTCACACCTGCACCCTTCTCTGGAGCAGCTCCCCAGCCTGATGGGAGCTGCCTCACCCACTTGGAGCTGCATGAGAGATGATGCCTTCCCTCCTGTTAACTGGCAACCTATAGCCAAGGACTAATTAATGAAGGGGAGGGCTTCTAATGCCCAGCCCCTTAGCTCTGAGTAGGACAAACTCAAGAGGTCCCCGTGAGACCAGGCTAGACTCTTTTGGGATCAAATCTCTCCTTAATTTCTCCCTGTGCCCTATTTTGCTTCTCTCATTCCTTCATAGTTTCTCCTAAGAGCTCTCTCTCCCCTAAAAATCACCAGCTCAAGAATCACCATGCTCAGCTCTGCTTCTAGGAATTCACGGAAGACAATGGCCAACAATTTAAATCTGAGACTTTGCATAAAAATCCAGATTTCTGGTTTCTTTTAAAATGTCAGATGACAGGCAAATAGTGAACCTATATTTTCACTTAGCAGTGCCCTGTCACAGCCCCCACCACTCCCTGTGAGTCTCACCCATGGCCCCACTGCACCCATTCACGAACAGGTGAGAGGCATCTGAATATGGGGCACCATGTCTACTACATGCATTGCTCTGTACTAGGAAGTTAGGGACCCTCAGAGTAAGTAAGTTGTCTCTGCTACCCAGAAACGCCTCATCTAGTTTGGGAGGCAAGACATACAAAGCAATGGTGCAAAGCACCATGCATAGGGAAGCAGGCTGGTGATGGGGCTCTTCCCTGTGGAATCTGGGATATGGGGGTTGCTTGACAAAGGGCCGTCCAGCGAGGCTTTGGCTCCATGTTTGATGGTGGTGCCCATGGCTAAGTGCCTGGCACCACAGTGAAGGGGTCGGTTCTCCTCTAGCCAGTGAAGGGCACGTGGGGATCCTATACCAGGTCAGTTAGACTTTCACTCCTAAGACTTGAGCGTTGAACAGAGGGACGCAGCAGCAGCACACCGATGAGACTGTGGATTGGTTCCTACTGCTAAGACCCTGGAGGCTGCCTGG